AAAAAAAAAGGCCTTAAAACACCTCAAGTTACAAAAGACAAGGACATGCATCAGATTTTTTAGTATTGGAAAAATTTGGAAATTTATTATAGACGCAAGAGCTTGGGAGATATTCAAGTTTTTACAATAGAGAATAGCTAAATTAGTGGTCTTGTGTACTCATTTGAACATTGCTCAGTCGTTCTTTCTGAAAAAAAAATTTTTGAGACAGGGTCTCACTATGTAGCTCTGCTGGTCTCAATTCACTATGTAAACTAGGCTAGCTTCAGACTCACGGAGATCCATCTGCCCCTATCTCCCAAGTGCTAGGATTAAAGGGGTGCTCCACCACACCTGGCATCATTATGATTTTAAACAAAAATTTTTTAAATAGGAATTTTTATTTGTGTGTGTGTGTGTGTGTGTGTGTGTGTGTGTGTGTGTGTGTGTGTTCAGGTACCTGTAGAGTCCAAAAGAGGTCATGGAGTTACAGGTGGCTATGTTAGAAATAAAATGCAAGGTACAAGGACCCCATCAGTACAAAGAATGCCACACAAAGAACACACAAAGCCAAAGTGGGCAGATTTTACTTTTGCAAAAGGGTGTCTTGCTGGGCCGGAGATATGGCTCAGCGGTTAAGAACACTGGTTATTCTTGCAGAAGACCCAGGTTCGAATCCCAGCACCCACATGGCAGCTAATAACTATAACTACAGTTCCAGGGGATCCAACAGCCTCTTCTGTCCTCCTCGGGCATTGCATGACACGGGTGCACTTACCTACATGCAGGCAATACATGCATACACATAAAAATAATAAATAAAATATTTTTAAAAAAGGTGTCTTGCATGATCAGTCAGATCCAGCAAGTACACAGGACCTGGAAGCTTGGAGAGGTTTTTTTTTTGTTTTTTTTTTTTTCTGGTCTTTTTGAGACAGGGTCTCCCTGTAGCCCCAGCTGTCCTGGAATTCACTATGTAAACCAGGCTGGCCTTGAACTCATGGAGATCTGCCTGCCTCTGCCTCCCGAGTGCTGGGATTAAAGGTGTGCATCACCACACCCGGCAGCTTGAGGAGTTTTTATACCTAATGCAAAGGAACTGTGTCTTTCCCCATTCCACTGGGGTTCGACTTCACAGACTTTCCTTAGTTGGCTAGTTTAGTTTAAAAGAATTGGTGCAAAAGGAGGTGAGCTCCACTACTCTAGGCCATCAGGCTCAGGAATGCATCAGGGCCTTTCATTAAACAAAAGTCTTCCAGGGTGTGGTGTGATTAAAAGATTAGAATTCCTTGTCATAAACCAAGTTCCAAGTTTTACAGGGTTTGAAAGAAAATGTTTTTTACAATTATTAGCCTCCAAAAGTGGGTTCTAGGAACCCAAACTCAGGTTCTCTGGAAGAGTAGCAAGCAATCTTTAAATTTTTTTTCTTTGATTTAATTTTTATTTTATGCATATGAGTGTTTTGCCTGCATTATGTAAGTGCACCATATGCATGCAATGCTGATAGAGTCCAGAAGAGGGCATTATATCACCTGAAACTAGTTACCTGTTAGCAGCCATGTGGGTGCTAAGAACAGAACTCTAATCTTTGCAAGAGCAGCAAGTGCTCTTAACGGCTGAGCCATCTGTAGCCCTCAAATAAATTTTATTGCCACAGTGTAATATTTTTGAAATATGTAAAATGGGTTTGAATATCATTTATGATGGGATCTCAATTACACATGTAGGTATTTAAGCCAATTAAAAGTAAAGACTTTGTTTTAAAATAGACACTATGGCCAGGCGTGGTGGCACACACCTTTAATCCCAGCACTCGGGAGGCAGAGGCAGGCGGATCTCTGTGAGTTCAAGGCCAGCCTGATCAATATAATGAGTTCCAGGCTAGGTGGGGCTACAGGGAGGACCTGTCTCAAATAACAACAAAACCAACCAACCAAACTGTGCTGGATGGCTTTTGTTGTCAACTTGACACACCTTGGTTGAGGGAGCCTCAATTGAGGAATTGCTTCCATTGAACTGGCCTGTGACCATGTCTGTATGGCATTTTCTTGATTATTGAATGATGTGAGAGGGCCCAGCCCACTGTGGGTGGTGCCATCCCTGGCAGGTTGTCCTGTATTGTATAACAAAGCAGACTGAGTATGGGCCAGGGAAGCAAGCCAGTAAGCAATATTCCCCCATGGTCTGTGCTTCTGCTCATGCCTCCAGGTTCCTGTCCTGAGTTCCTACCTTGGGCTCCCAGGTGAACTGTGACCTGGGAGATATGAGCCAAATAAACCCTTTCCTCTGGGCTGGAGAGATGGCTCAGCAGTTAAGGGCACTAACTGCTCTTACTAGAGGACCCAGGTTTGATTCCCAGTACCCACATGGCAGCTAACAACTAACTCCAGTTCCAGGGAATCCAATGCCCTTTTCTGGCCTCTGAGGGCACTGCAAGACATAGGTGCACTTACATGCAGGCATAACAGTCATACACATTAAATAAATAAATAAAATTTAAAAAGCAAACAAAAATTTGGGACAGAAAGTGAAATAATCTGCTTTACTTTTGAACTCACAGCAGCTATGATTACTGTAAGAAATTAAATGTCACTGGGCATGGTGGTGCATGTCTTTAATCTCAGCACTCAGGAGGCAGAGGCAGGTGGACCTATGTGAGTTCAAGGCCAGCCTGGTCTACATAGCGAGTTCCAGGCCAGCTGGGGCTACAGGGGGGACCTGTTTCAATAAGACCAAAAAAAAAAGGAAATATAAATGTCAGTGTGCTGGATAGCTTTAATGTCAACTTGACACACCTGGGTTGAGTTAGCCTCAATTGGGAAATTTCCTCTATTGGACTGGCCTGTGGCCATGTCTGAGGGGCATCTTCTTGATGAGTGATGTGGGAGGGCCCAGCCCACTGTGGGTGGTGCCACCCCTGGGCATGTGGGCCTGTGTTGCATAAGAAAGCAGGCTGAGCAGGGGCCGGGGAGCAAGCCAGTAAGCAGTGTTCCTTTGTGGCCTGTGCTCCAGCTCCTGGCTCCAGGTTCCTGCCCTGAGTTCGTACCTTGGGTTCCCTGATGAACTGCGACCTGGGAGATGTAAGACAAATAAACCCTTTCCTTCCCAAGTTGGTAGTGGTCAGAGTGTTCGTTCACAGCAATGGAGAAACAAACTATGACAGTCTTTTCTGTCAAGTTTTAGTTTAGGATAAACCAAATCTTTCAAACCTCCCTTACATACCTTGTAAAACTTGTTTTTTTCAAAAGCTCTACTACATTCCTGGAACCTGAAGCCTAAGGGTGGATGAGTCCTTTTCCTTTCCTCCAACTCCTTTCCCCTTCTCCTTCATTTCCTTTTCACCACTTTTTTTTTCTTTCTTTCTTTTGAGACAAGGTCCCCCTATAACTCCAGCTGGCCTGGAATTCAATATATAGAGCAGGATGGCATCAAACTCTTAGAGATCAGCCTCTTCTGCCTCAAGGCATGTGCACCAAGCCCGGCTATGCCACTTCTTTTAAATACAGGCAACCATGAAAGACTGTGAGGTTGGATCCCAGCCAGTGGGGTAAAGACACAATACTCTTGTGTTAGGGATAAAAAAAACTATCAAACTTCCAGGTTGGGTGTACTCGCTTGATCTAACAGATGCAACAACCCTTTTACAAAAGTAAAAGCTGCCTTGCTAAGTCATTTTTGCTTTGTGTGTACTTTGTGTGGTATCAGTAGAGTATTTGAACCTCAGATTTTATTTCTAACATTACCTACAAAAGATCTGCACAAGATTGAGCCCCTCAACATCCTTTCATGGCATAGGGAGGGACTCATGAGTCTCCACTCTCCTTGAGAATCTAGAGAATTATTTTTTTTTTAGTAGCTATCAGTAAGGTGCCCAGGCTCCTGTAAACAACCTTTCATCCATGTTCTTGGAATCAACCCTAATAAAAATTCATTGTGTCACCCTCCCCCAACAAAAAGGGGATATGAAAGTAGAGGGGGTTTAATTAGGAAGAGGAAGGGGATCAGCAATGGGAGGGGTGGACAAAAGGATAATGGGGAGTACGTATCATCAAAATAATCCCATGTGTTGAAAATGTCATAATGAAACCCACTGTTTATATCTTTAAATTTTTTTTGCTTTATTTTATGGGTTTTACTGTTATGCCTATGTGTGGAAGTGCACCCATGTCATGCCTGTGGGGACAGAAGAGGGCATTGGATCCCCTGGAACTGGAGTTAGAGCTGTTAACTACTATGTGGGTGCTGGGATTCAAACCTGGGTCCTCTGCAAGAATAGTCAGTGCTTTTAACCACTGAGCTATCTCTCCAGCCCTTTCCTTTCTTTTCCTTTCTCTTTTGGGATTGATGCCAGCTCGCCAGGCTTGGTGACAAGTGCATTTTACTAACTGAGCCATCTCACTGGCCCCTCCTTTTTGTTTTTATTTTTTATCTTTTGAGTTACAAAGTTTTTTAAATCATAATACTGTAAACATTTTATTTATTTATTTTTATTATGCATGTATTGCCTGCATGTATGTGAGTGCACCCATGTTGTGCAATGCTGTGGAGGTCAGAAGAGGGCTTCAGATTCCCCTGGAACTGGAGTTAAGGATGGTTCGTAGCCTCCATGTGGGTGCTGGGACTCCAACCTGGGTCCTCTTCAAGAGAAGTCAGTGCTCTTAACTGCTGAGCCATCTCTCCAGCCCCCTCCTTTTCTTTTCAGATAGCATCTCATGTAGCTGAAGCTGGCCTTGAACTCACTATGAAGCTAAGGATGGTCTTGAACTTCTGATCCTCTTGCTTTCACATAGTATAGGACTAACCCTCAAGCCAGACAGATGCCATCTTCAAGAGTTCTGCTGTTCCTGCTGGCAAAAGATCATCACAGCTAGGCTTGTGGACTGTTGATATCCCCTCACAGAAGGAGGATGAAGGAGGGTCATGATACCCTCAACCAACTACTCCCAACCACTCCTTCTGACCAGTCATTCGCAATTCTACCCTAATTGCACATGGTCTCAAGGAAGGGCTAGAGTATATAGGTGGAGAAGGACTAGCAAGGGGCTCCATGTATACAACTATGATGGAGTCATAAGGTCATCCAAGCTATGTGCAGATCTTTCAGTGTGACTGCTTTAAGGTCATCTGTGCTCCTGCCTATAACCCCTTGCCCAGTGCTCTGTAAGTAAACCTAATAAACTCGCTGGTTCCCCAGAGTTAATTTTGATAGAATCATATCTCAGTTTGTCACTTTGTTGGTGTGTCTACTGGGACCTTAGGAGGAGGGGGTAGACATTTTTTATATCTTCCTGGGGGAAGGAATTTTAGCAACACTCTCCCTCTGGAGTGTTAAGAGTGATAGGAGTACAGACCTTTGGGATTACAGATGTGTACAACCACATCTAGCAAAAGCCTGTTTTTTTTTTTTTGTCTTTTTGAGACAGGTTCTCTCTATAGCCCCAGCTGTCCTGGAACTATGTAGACCAGGCTGGCCTCGAACTCATAAAGATCCCCCTGCCTCTGCCTCCCAAGTGCTGGGATTAAAGGCGTGTGCCACCACACCTGGCTACAAAAGCCTGTTTTAAATATACAGAATTAGGTTCTAGTTTTATATCATTTTGACCTTTGATATTTTTATCTCTTATAACCAAATTAATCACATTCTAATTATTTTTATGAAATTAATTTTTCATAAATTTTGTTTCTCCACTTTACTTTTTGAGACAGGGTCTCTCGTTGAACCTGGAACTCAAACCATTTTCAGCAGTGGTGAGAGGATCTAGTTTGTTTCTCGCCATGGCCCCTTGCTAGCTAAGGTGGGGAGTCGATGTCTGTCACAACTCCTGAGAATGCTGAAGTGGGCAAAAATGAGGTGGGGGAGAGCAGGAGTTAGAGCATGGATCTGGGGGGTCAGACACACAGCACAGGAAGCTGGGGAGGAGTTGCGAGTGGCACCCTGAGAGACACCCTGACTTGACGTCCTGGACAGAAAGCACTGGGCACAAGCCCTACCTGTGAGGTCCTCCCTCTCTGAAGATCCCTGCGCATCTGGCCCAACTGGTTGCGGTAGACCCCAGTGCATCCTCCTGCTCCCCGACCCCCATTCCCTAAGTCCGGAGCCAGGGGCCCTTTCTGCCACCTGCAAAGGCGTTTGCACCTCGTCCACGTGCTCACTGAAGTCTTCAGTTGAAGAAAAGCTAACTGGGCTTTTCTCACCCTGACAGACTGGTGACGGGGAGGTGCATTAGACCAGCTGAAGTGACTTTAGCTGTAAGTCAGCGCATCCAGCCAGCAGATGGGATCTTCACCTTTGCACACTAGCCCGGGGATGGCCCATCACAAGCAAGTTCTGACAGTTCACAGCTGACCCCGCCCCCGCCGCTCTGGCCCTGGCTGGCTGGCCGCGCCCTGCTCAAGCTCCCGCCCAGCTCCCAGTGGCTTTCCGCGATCATCAGCCACGCCCCCATAGGAGGGGCTTGAAGACCTCGGAGATGTCGGGCCTCTGAGTCGGAAGTCTGCGGGGCGGGGCGCGGAGGCGGGAGGGATGGACGTGAGAGCGGTTTCCGGTGGCGGGCCCCCGAGGCGCCCGGGGAGGGTGAGTAGGTACGGCTAAGAGTCTTGTTATCAGGATGAGGAGCCGCCTGCCTCTCTCTGGGAGAGAATGGACGGCTCGGGCAGCTCGGGGCTGTTGTGAGCGCCTGTAACCGCCGCGCTGATGAGGCCGCGTTGATGAGAGTCGGCGTGAGGCTGGAGTCGGAGCACCACAGCTCCTCCCAGGCCTCTCGCGTGCTCCGGTGTTGGGCCTGAGTAAGGCCATCATCAGTCGCAGCCTTCCCTCCAGGCCTCTAGCATGCCTGGAGCCTCCCTAGTTCATCCTGGGTAATCACCTTCTAGGTTCATCGTTCCCCTGTTTCTGCACCTGGAAGGCCCAGAGTCGGTGACAGTGGCTGAAAGTGCTCTCCTTTGGGTAGGGTAGGTTATCCAGTGAACTCAGAGCACTGCTCAGGGTCTAGGACCGGCATTTCTCACTGGCAGCTGCAGTTCTACCGTCCAAACGCCAGGGTCTGGGAGGGGACCCTCTTCCAGTGCTCAGTTCCCTGGATCAGCTAGCCTACCTCTGCCAAATGGCCTGGGTCTACTGAGCAAAAGCTACTTACTAAGCCAACTTCTTCCCACAGGGATGCATGGGGAAGGGCCTGAGGGCTTTGGTTCAGAAGCTGGTGTACTGATCACATCTTAAGTGTTGGTGCCATCCTTGTGACTTAGGCCAGCTGTAGCCTGTTTTAGAATTTGCACACTTGAGAACAAGGGTTCTGTTTCCTGAAGTTTTTCTGGCTTCTGTCTGCTATGGCCTGCAGTAGCTCTTTCCTTTGCTGCCTGTGGACCACACACTGACTCGCTCCTTTAGGTCCATTATACATGGTGTTCTGCTTCCTTGAGTGCTTTCCTTATCATTGTCACCTTGGCCTAGGCCCCTGAGGGAAGAGATCCTTTAGGCCTAAACAGAGTTTCTCATTTGAACACTTTCTTAGTTCCTTGTACTTAAGCACTTATCAGGGTTTTGAGTTTGTATGTGGTTATTTGTCTCTTTCTTCCACTAGATGCCCTATGAGGCAAGGTTCTTAGGAATTCACTGTCTCCTCATTGCTTAGTTGAGTGTGTGGCCAGGCCCATGGCAGCCATTCTTGATGCAATTTTGGAACTATTTAACCTCTCCACCCCGGAACACCCCTTTCCTCCCATAGATCAAGGCTTCAGGGACTGATGCTTGAGTGTCAGAACTGTTTTGCCCTAACCTGTTTCTCTGCTATGGAATGTCTAGGGTTGGTGGTAAAGAAGCAGGGAGTGCAATACCCCTTTGCCTATCCTGGAAATTAGAGTGCCTCCCTCGCCCTGACCTTTGACTTTTTATAATTTCCTACAGGTGTCAGCCAAGACAAGTGGATCCCACCGGACAAGCATGGTAGGAATCCTGGCTGCCTCTGTTCTCCCACTTGTCCTGTGAAGCCTCCACTTCTTACTTTGGGAATCTATCCTTTCCACTGGGCTTGGGCCCAGACCCAGCTTTGGTCCTTCCTGCAGCCTTGCCAGGCTCAGTACCTGAGGCTGTGAGTAAACCTTTGCCCAGACCAGCCGTGCCTCTAAGTGGGAGGATTGTAAAGTCACTGGGTCCCTTCTCTTCTCCTAAAGGGCCTTTTCCTAAGATTTAAGAGCCCAAAGGATCCCTGTGACTCTTGTTCAATCCCGTGTTTCACCTCCTGAGATATGTTTTAGCACAGTGGGGCTGGGCACCCAGGGATACCTGGGGTGCTGGTGTGTATCCTTTCAGGAGACGGTGACATTTGGCGACGTGGCTGTGCACTTCTCTCGGGAGGAGTGGCAGTGTCTGGACTCTGGTCAGAGGGCCCTCTACAGGGAGGTGATGTTGGAGAATCACAGCAGTGTGGCTGGACTAGGTGAGGCTACACCCTGGGATCCCTCCCCTTTATTATCAATCAGCATCCACCCTATTTGTCAGAGACTGGGGATGTAGAGGCTGACCACTTGGGCCTTTTGGGCTAAGCAGGGCCTTTGAATTTATGAGTGTGTCAGGCTAGTTCTAAGCCTTGCGCATGTCACCTTACTAGGTGGGTGGACTTCTTGGAACTAGTAAAACCTCTGTTTTTTCTAAGCTATTAAATTATCATGTAAGAAATAGAACCCAAACTTGAAATAGCTGAGACCAAAAAAAAAAAAAAAAAAAAAAAAAACAGGCCTGAGAAATCTAGGGAAAACTGTTAAAGAGCTAGAGTGTCAGTGATGTACCTTCTTTCCTTCTGTCCTATTATCAGTCTTCTCTGATCTCTGCTAACTTTCCCTGCTCCACCCCCCCGCCCCCGCCGCCAAAAAAAAAACTGTTCTAGCACACAACTGTGTGTTCCGTGAGTAAATATATGTCTAACATGCTGCTTGCTGTGCATCTCCCCTGCTACTGAGCTCTCTTCAGGACTGCCCCCCATCATGTCCAGGCCCAGAACATGGGTCATTGAGAGAATGCCTATGATGGACTAGGATTGGAGTAGGTGGGATATAGTTAATTGGCCATCTGCTTCTCGGTGCTTGGCCAGTCCTATAATTCTTTATCCCATCTAACTTGGCAAAAATCCAGTTTTCTGATATTTGTCAGTCAAATACTATACAGTAAGGCTAGGGTACAGAGCAGTGGTTGAGTGCCGTTCTGTCCTGTGCAGGCTCTGGTTTCAATCCCTGACATCACAAAGAAGAAAAAAAGGGCACAAGAGCAAGAACATGTATGGTTTTTGTGTTTGTCTTGTCCTGTTGTATCCCCCCACCCCCAGAGTTTAGGTGTCCTGTCACATCCTTGTTACTGTTTTGTTCTGAAACAGTGTGTGCAGCCCTTTTGACCACTTTTTACAAGGGTTGCTGTGTCTTACTGATTTATAGGTGTTTGGTATATCTTCAGAATCCAAGGTGACATGTTATACATTGACAAAGGATACTACTGATTATACCACATCACAATTGACCATCACAATTTAAACGTTTATTTGGTACTTTATGGGAACTCTCTTAAGACTCCTCATATGTGGTTTATTATGTGTCACTGAAATAGGAAGGGAAATACATGGACTATATTGGCCAGGAGTTCCTCTGGCTTGGTCATCCATATCTGAGTCCCATGGTGTCCTGGTCATTCAGAGGTGGTGATGTTTTTCTTCATTGGGGTTTTCTTCCCTTCCATGGGTCAATGCCTGAGGTTTTTTTGCCTGGTTATAGCAGCTGTTTCTTCTGAGTGGCTCTCAGTGACAAACCAAACAGTCTATCTACAATATCTATCTTTTCTCAGGCACTGTCCACACACAGTTGCAATGTGCCTGTGACTGGTACTACAGTCATTTATCAGGCAACTTACTCCGTTTCAAAAATAGACTTGTTGGGGACTGGAGAGATGGCTCAGCAGTTAAGAACACTGGTTATTCTTGCTGAAGACCCGGGTTTGAATCCAAGCACCCACATGGCAGCTAACAACTGTCTGTAATTCCAGTCCCAGGGGATCCGTCAGCCTCTTCAGACCTCCACGGGCATTGCTGGACATGGGTGCACTTACCTACATGCAGGCAATACACACATACACGTAAGATAAAAAAAAAAAAAAGAAATAAAAATTTTAAAGAGTTAGCCGGGTGTGGTGGCACATGCCTGTAGTCCCAGCACTTGGGAGGCAGAGGCAGGTGGATCTCCGTGAGTTCAAGGCCAGCCTGGTCTACATAGTGAGTTCCAGGACATCTGGGGCTACAGGGAGACCCTGCTTCAAAAAGACAAAAAAAAATAAAAATAAAAATAAAAAGTTAAAAAAATAGACCTGTTGTTCTTTTCCCATGGCTTCTACTTCTATAATAATTTCTTGTTTCAGTTCATTTGAGATGGGGTTTCACTGTGCTGCCCAATCTGGCCTATGATCATGGGCCTAATTCGGTGACCCTCTTCCCTCCTGAGTAGTTACTGGGACAGTAAGAGTGTACCACTTCATAGGATAGGTTTTTTGTGGGTTTTTTTGTTTTTTTATTTTTTGGTCTTTTTGAAACAGGGTCTAAAGACTAAAGGCATGTGCCACCACGCCCAGCTCATAGGATAGTTTTGAAAAGTGCAGGGTATATAAGCTCAGCATTCGTTTATGTAATGGTACTGGTGATTCAGCTGTATCAGTGATGATCTGAGAGTCTAGTTAAAGTCCATGTGTGCACGCAGCTCGTGTGTACAGGCAGTAGTGGCTTGTCATTTTTTTTGTCACCAGGTTGTTTTGCTGGTAGGCTGCTGACATAAATCCTAAGATGTGTCTGAATTTACAAATGAGAATGCATAGAAATATAAAATAAGACATCAAATATAATAATGCCATTCATATCTTGTTTATTGTATCTTTTCTCGTGCTTATTGACCCTGGTCAGGTTTTTATTTTTTATTTATTTTTTGATGATATTGGGGCTGGTACTCAGGACTGAGAACATACTAGACAAGGACACTTATCAGTGAACTATACCCCTAACTTTAGCTACCTTAATTTTTTTTTTTTTTTGGTTTTTTTTGTTTTTTTTTTTTTGTTTTTTTTTTTTTTGGTGTTTTTGAGACAGGGTCTCCCTGTAGCCCCAGGTGTCCTGGAACTCACTATGTAGACCAGGCTGGCCTTGAACTCACAGAGATCCACCTGCCTCTGCCTCCGAGTGCTGGGATTAAAGGTGTGTGCCAGCATGCCCAGCCCTATCTTAATTTTTGGATGATTTATAGAGGGAGAATTTTGATTTTAAGACAAGGTCTCACTATGTAGCTTTGACTGGCCTGGAACTTAACTATGTAGACTAGGCTGGCTTTGATTTCACAGAGAGCCCCCTGCTTAGTCTCTGGAGTGCTGGGATTAAAGGTGTGTACCACCATGCCTGGCTTGTATCTTCATTTTATAAAGAATTCTCTTGTGGTTTTAGTAACCATTTGGGGTGCGGATTGGGAGGTGGTTGGGTTTTTTGTTTTGTTTTTTGAGATAAGGAAGGTCTCATGTATACTTAGTTGACTTCTGACATACTATTTAGCCAAAGATGACCTTGAACTTCCCATTCTCCTGCCTCTGCCTTCATAGTGCTGGGATTATAGGCATGTGGCACCACACCCAATTTACGAGTGCTGGCGTTCTAACTCAGAACTGTATGTGTGCTAGGCATGCACTCTACCAACCTTGTGACTTTTCCAGCCCATTGTTCTTGTTATGTTTTTGCTCCTATGTTTTGCTGTTTCCCACTTTTACTATTTTTGTCATTTTTGTACTTATGTAGGTTTGTGTTTTTCAGTTCACAACTTTTTTGGCCTAATAATTAACACATTTGCATTTTGCTATTCTTGTTTATGGTAAATTTATTTTATTTTGTTTTATTTTGTCTTTTTGAGCTAGCTTAGAACTCGCAATGTAGACCAGGCTGGCCTTGAACCTATAGAGATCTGCCTACCTCTGCCTTCCAAGTACTGGGATTAAAAACCTGTGCCACCACACCTGGCTAACAAATTTATTTTAAAATACAAAATTTTGGGCTGAAAAGGTGGCTTAGCTGTTAAAGGCCCAGGCTTACAACCTAAACATAAAATACAAAAATTTGTCTATCGCTGCTACAGCTACATTCTACAGAGTTTGACTCATAATAAAAGTAGTTGTCCCTTAGTAATTCATTATTTAGTTTCTAAGTAGCTAATCCTTTCTAATTGCCTTTTTTTTGTTTGTTGGCTTGGTTGCTTGAACCTGTTGGTGTTTCCTGTATTCAACCTTTTAATATTGTGACATGATGTCATCTACAAAATCTGTGCTCAAGACCCTTGCAATTAAGTTATCCCCAACCCCCCAAATCTTATGATGTTTTGAATAAGTTTGATTTTATGTTGGGTGACAATCTGACTATATGTGGCCTAAGGACCTCTCTGCCTGCCTTACCCTTTCTTGGGAAGCCTGAGGGAAGCTTCTAGCCCTGTTGGTCCATAATTGGATGCCTCATAGTTTATGGACTAGCAGTTAAGGGAGTTTTGGGCTACTCTGCAGCATGGGGTCTCATGGCCCCCAGGTTGGGTACCAGGTGAGCACCCCAGGGTCTGATATTGTTTGACTACAGGTGAAGATTGACCTTTATAATTTTTGTATTTAAATCTGCTTTGTTTATTTAATTACTTTTGTTTGCTTGCTTGTTTGTTTGTTGAGACAGGGTTTCCCTGTAGACCAGGCTGGCCTTGATCTCACAGAGATCCTCCTGCCTCTGCCTCTTAAATGCTGGGATTTAAGGCATGTGCCACCATGCCTGGCTGTTTACTAATTATTTTATATTTTGTTTCTTAACCACTCCTACCTCTTGGAGTATCCTTGCAATTTGAACTGAAAAACAGCCTTGATTTTGCTGAATATGGTGCTCATTTAAGCGTCCTTTCTCCTCTACCCCAAGTAAAGCCAGCCTATTTTTTGCAGACTCTTTGGTGAAGGTGTCCCCTGAAGATTGTGGGAGTCTGGGTGCTCCTTCCTGTCCAGTTTCAGGAACTGAACAGAAAGGGCTGCTGGGTATACAGCTTTTTATGCCCTTATACCCTCCCACACAGACTCTACCTATATCCAACAGCTTTTGTTCCTCATGCCTGGAAAGTAGGGGAGGCTGAGCCCTGACCATACTCCCAGCATCTCCTTCTCTGCCTCACACACAGCAGGATTCCTGGTCTTTAAGCCTGAGCTGATTTCCCGACTGGAGAAAGGACAAGAGCCGTGGGTCCTTGACCTACAGGGAGCAGAGGGGACAGAGGTACCATGGACTTCCCAGACAGGTGAGGCCCAGGCCCTGTCACAAAGAAGCTCTGAAGAGGAGGAGCTGAGATGAGGTCTTGAGGCAGTGGGAGGTTGGGGTAAGTCCTGGTGACCAGACTGGGCAGCTGGGGAGCAATACAAAGGAAGGCCAACCCTAGAAAGAAATACAGACTGGTGTCTGGCTACCTCTGGGAGCCCAAGCCTCTGAAAGGCAAGAACACCAAACACCTGTCCATTCAACCAGTTTGTATCATGTAATTATGGTCATGGAGAAATCTGGCCTTTGGGATTTTAGGGTGATAAGGCAGCCTGTGCTGACTTATAAATTCTAGAAGGAAAGTTGATGTCATGAAGATACCATGGGGGTTCTGGGTACTCAGACTCTTATATAAATTTGCCCTAGGTAAGAAGTCAGTATAAGCTTTGGGTATAAAACTAGTGTTTAGTTTCATTCTATTGCTGTGAGAAAACATTCTGTCCAAAAACTTAGGAAGGAAAGGGTGTCTTTCAGTTTATACTTCCAGGTCACAATTCATCATTGAGGGAAGTCAGGCCAAGAACTGAAGCACAAACCATGGAGGAACACTGCTTACTGGCTTCTTCTCTTACTCATGTTCAACTTGCTTTCTTATACAGCCCAGACCCACATGCCTAGTGATGGTGCTACCCTCAGTGGGCTAGGCCCTCCTCTGTCAATCATCAATCATGAAAATCTCTCACAGACACCACCACAGGCCAATCTGACCTATAAAAATTTCCTAATTGAGGTTCCTTCCCAGATGACCCTAAGTTGTGGCAAATTGACAATAAAAACTAAAGTACGAGTATCAGGTGCAGGTTTTCATCTGGGATCCTCCTCAGAGAAACCTGCCTCAGAGGACAGTCTTGAGTACCCAGTTCTCCTCTGGCCTCCTCCTCTTCCTACCTGCCCTTTAGCAGTAGTCTCTCATTCTTAACATTCCCAGGTCAGACCCCTTTCTGTCATCAGTTGTCAACTGTACATGGGTACATTGGGGGCCTCTGACCTGTTCTGCTGAATTCTTGGCTGTCACACTGTCCTCAGGTTTGCTCTGTCCAGTCTCACTTTGCTTCTTCTAGGATATTCCCTCCTTAGTGCCTGGGGGTGGGGTGGGGGGTGAAACTCTGCTCATGGACCCTCTTGGGACATGCAGCTCTCGGCATCCTGTTTTGTAGACAGGAGCACATCATCATTGTCGAATAGACCAACTTGTGAAAATTCCCCTGGGATCTCCTTGCCATGACTTTCCTCCCATCTTTGCCTGTTTTCTGAACTCAGATGTAAGGAACATATTTTTTTGTGTTTATTTTAGATTCTGCTGTTAGGACTGACCACAAACAGACGTGTGAGTACATGGACATTCTCAAAAGGCAGGTTCCTGGCATTGGAGATACTTTGGATTCTGAGGTCTGGTCAGAGAATTGTCCAAACAGCCTTGGGCTAAGAGTGAGGGGCTCACTTTTCCAGAAGCACTGTTCCAATGTAAATAATGGGGCTGTGGCTCCTGAGAACTTTACTGAGGACACTGTCCAGGAATATAAGGAACTAGGGGCCACTCTCCTGGGTTGTCAGCCTGATAAACAGAGAGATGGTGTCAAAGGGACATTACAGAACTGTGAGGAGTATGGCAGAGGCTTCAGATCACCTTCAGATCTGGCTCCAAACCTGGAAATGAATGTGCAGGAGAAACCAAACAGATACCAGGAGTGCCAGAAAAACCTATCTGACTGCTTGCAGGAGAAACATAAAAGTAACTGCCTTGGAGAGAAACTGTATGAGTGTGAGGAATGTGGGAAAGTCTTCAGACTGTGTTCACAACTCCATCAACATCAGAGAATCCACACAGGAGAGAAACCGTTTAAATGTGTTGAATGTGGGAAAGCCTTTCGTCTGAGCTCAAAACTTATTCAGCATCAAAGAATTCATACTGGAGAAAAGCCTTACAGGTGTCAAGAATGTGGGAAAACTTTTGGTCAGAGCTCAAGCTTGATCCATCATCAGAGAATCCACACAGGAGAGAGACCCTACAGTTGTCAAGAGTGTGGGAAAGCCTTCAGCCAGCAATCACAACTTGTCAGACACCAGAGGACTCACACTGGAGAAAGGCCATATCTCTGTCAGGAGTGTGGCAAAGCCTTCAGCCAGAGCTCAACTCTAGCCCAGCACCAGAGGATGCATACTGGGGAGAGATCTCAAATGCCAAGAGCTTCAGAGAGTCCAGGCCTTGTTGCCCATCAGAGAAGTCACACTGTAGAGAAGCAATTTAAGTGTGAAGAGTGTGGGAAAGCTTTCAGGTGGATCTCTCGCCTGAGTCAGCACCAGCTGATTCACACTGGAGAGAAACCTTATAAATGCAACAAGTGCACAAAAGCTTTTGGTTGTAGCTCACGACTGATTCGTCATCAGAGAACTCACACTGGAGAAAAACCATTTAAATGTGATGAATGTGGGAAGGGCTTTGTTCAGGGCTCACATCTTATTCAACATCAACGAATCCACACAGGAGAGAAGCCTTATGTGTGCAATGACTGTGGGAAAGCCTTCAGCCAGAGCTCCAGCCTCATTTACCACCAGAGAATCCATAAAGGAGAGAAGCCATATGAATGTCTCCAATGTGGAAAAGCTTTCAGTATGAGTACACAACTCACCATCCACCAAAGGGTTCACACTGGGGAAAGACCCTACAAGTGTAATGAATGTGGAAAAGCATTCAGTCAAAATTCAACGCTTTTCCAACATCAGATTATTCATGCTGGAGTGAAGCCCTATGAGTGTAGTGAGTGTGGAAAGGCCTTCAGTCGAAGCTCTTATCTTATTGAACACCAGAGAATACATACTAGAGCCCAGTGGTACTATGAATTTGGAAACACCTTTGAAGGCTCCACCTTTGTGAGCCATAAAAAAGTAAACACTGTAAAGAAATTGCACCAGTGTGATGGCTGTGAGAAGATATTCAGGTGGCGTTCACACCTGATTATACATCAGAGAATTCATACAGGAGAGAAGCCTTACAAATGTAATGATTGTGGCAAAGCTTTTAATCGGAGCTCAAGACTTACTCAGCACCAGAAAATTCACATAGGATAAACTGATCACCTATATAAATGTATAAATGTGAATAAACTTGAAGCCTTATTTTATTTGAAATCATTTATACATTTATCTTTGAGAATTGTTTTTAGAATATTGTTCATATGAAAACATTTTTTTTCTTGGAATATTTAGCATTTACCCATTAAATAAAGTGTCCCTCAAAATCAGGGTATAGCCTATAGTTTGAACTCTTGGAGGGTAGACCTCTGCCCTACAGGCATCAGAAGCAGGCATCAGAAAGGCTCTATGAGCCCTTTCAGACAGCAGGTTAAATGAAACCACCCACTTCAGATGTGGTGGCACATTTTTGTAATCCCAGCACTCAGGAGACAAATGTAAGAGGATCTCAAGTTTGAGGCTATCTATATCCTGCCTTAAAAAAAAATTTAAAGTGTTCTCCCTTGGGATCAGTTACTTAACTAGGTTTCAACAATAAAGGGATCTTTCAGCTCATTGAAAAGATAAGCAGCCAGGCATGGTGGCATATGTCTTTAATCCCAGCACTCAGGGAGGGAAAGGCAGGGGGATCTCTGTAAGGTGGAGACCAGTCTGGTCTACATAGTTCCAGGCCAGTTGTGGCTACAGGGCACCCCTGTCTCAAAACGAAGAGCTAAGACCCTAGAATTTCTAACTGCTTCACCTAACCCCTTTTACTTTGTGTGGTAGTGAGGATTGAGCCTAGGGTTTGGACATGTTATTCAAGTGTTCTACAACTGAGTTATGTCTCCAACCCCACATGATCCCTCTTAAAGCTTATCCTCTAGAGCCACTTAGGGCTCCATTCCCTTGGGAGGTGGGCGTGGCTCCTGAGTGCTGCTGTTAGGGTGGATGTGGCCTGCAATATTCATCAAGCATACATCAGTACTAGGCAAAGAAACAGCATGGCTACCTCCAAGGGTTTGAAATCATCTGGATTTCAGGGACTTGTGTGATGCAGGATACCTGCCTCCCTAAAATTCAGAGCTAGTGTCCTGAAAATGTCTTGCTGTAGGGTAGTTACAAGACTATGCAGGAATGTGTAAATGTTTCTCATAAAGAATAAACAGTCTAAAAGAATGCCGTTGTTACATCACACACCAGCACCTGCCCAGCTCCCCATTTTACAGGGGCAGTCAGAGAACTGGTGAGTCTAGGTTAAAGGAAGGAGCCATGTGCCAGAAATGCGCTCTCCCTATGTGTGTCCCCCAGTCCTGATCCAGGATGTCTGCCTAACACCAGAGCACAGGAGTTAGCAATGACAATGTATTGGTGTTTTTAGGAGACATGAAGCTAGAATGGGATACGAGGGAATGAGGCAGGTAAGAATGGAGAATGGGTCTAAAATTTTTAAGCCCCAGTTGGGATTTTGCATTTTATTCTAGAATTACAGGACATTACTAGGGGGCCCTTACAGGTACTATTACGGGGTTCTTTTCCCTCAAGGGTCGAGGGTGGGGAAATGGAACCCTGGTTCTTGTACTTCCTAAGTTCTACCATTAAGCCACACCCCTTCTTTGGAACTGTTTTGTAAAGAGCACCAGCTGCTCAGTGGGGGGGGGGGGGTTAAAGGAGGGCTAATGATGAAAACAGAAGACAGAAACTGCCACGGACATTTTGGAGTAGGGGACCCTGAAACAGTTTTTCTTTGGCTGAAGCCAAATATGTCTGTAGCAATGTTTGTAATTCTGTCCTTGCCAAAGGCTAGAGAGGCCAGAAGGGTTTAAGCCAAAATGTTTTTGATTCTCTGGCTAGAGGCTAGATGGCAGAAGGGAGCAGTGGGCGCGGGGGGAGAGTTGCAACGTGTTCTTGTGTTGTCCCAGATTTGCCATTTGACCCCACGCCTCTTTTTGAGCGGTTTTTTAAAAGAAGCCTCCTGGTCGGGGGGGGGGGGGGGGTTAAAGGAGTGCTAATGATGAAAACAGAAGACAGAAACTGTCCAGGCATTTTTGGAGTAGGGGACCCTGAAACAGTTTTTCTTTGGCTGAAGCCAAATATGTCTGTAGCAATGTTTGTAATTCTGTCCTTGCCAAAGGCTAGAGAGGCCAGAAGGGTTTAAGCCAAAATGTTTTTGATTCTCTGGCTAGAGGCTAGATGGCAGAAGGGAGTATTGATTTCTCGTTATCTCTGCCCCCTAATAAATGAGCACCCCTGCCTGGAATCTATGTGAGGAAGTTTCTGAAACTGAGAAGAGATACCTGAGCGCTTTGTGGGTGGGTCAGTTGGACTGATCAGTTCATCCCTCTCCCTATCCCTCACCCTCACCCCAGTTTTACTGTAAGTTCTATAAAAAGCCCCTAGACTAGCAGATGGTATTCCATTTCCAAGAACTCACTCTACCTTCTCTCAAGTACCATCTATGACTCTGTAATAAAACTTATTTCTAAAGCTTACCTTTCCTGGTCCATGAATTTAATTCTTTGAATTAATGACACAAGAACCCAGAAGCCACTGACTAAGTTTTGAGTGACCATGAGCTTTTGGTACCCTAACTTCTGAATTGAAGCCCAACTGAGATAAGATAGAAAGCATCTGTCAAACTGAAAGACACACCACTTTATCTGTATTACCAAGGGCCTACATTAATTAGTGTGGCTACAGTAGGGAGCAATGAAGAACCTTTAGCTCTGATAACAGACATGAGGTGGACAGTGGGAGAAGGATGAAGGTGATGGCAGAGCTAGCAGTATGTGGTGAGGCCCAGATTGTCTGCCTTGAGCACCACACCAGAATACAAACCATAGGAAGAAGACAAAACTTAACAAATCAACAAGAAAAAGTTGAACATTTCCAATAGAAAAGTACAAAAATGAGAACTCCCCACAACAGAAAGCTACATGGAAATGCCCAACACGAATGTGGAGAGCTACTTCACAGTCGGTGGAAAAATGTAAATTGGAATCAGTTTTGAAGAACAATGTATTTTCCCTACAAGCCCGAATCCCATGTGTTCACACCAGTGGAACATTTTGTGTAAGAGATGTCCTAGTGGAGTCTTTAGAAATTGGTACTTTGGAATAAACTGAGCAAAGGAACAGGTGAAGAGTGGTCCTTGAAAAAGCTGCAGGTATCAGGATACTTGTTCTGCATAGTGAGCTGCTGACATAGGGAGAAAGATGCAGCTCACCTGCTTCCTATAGTTCTTTGGATTGGAATTTGGGGTTTGTCATAGGCTTTTCAGGAGAGGGGTCTGATCTGAGATCAAAAGTTGGCAGCTATCTTAAGAAAAAGTTAAAGAACTTTGAAGAGAGAATTCAAGAGGTAAACATGGGTGGAGTCTGGTTGTTGCAGGCAGTCTGGAGGATTCTGGCCATGCCAGTAATAAAGTAGATATTTTTTTTAGTGTTTGTGTCTTTGTTGAGACAGGGTCTCTACCTGTAGCCCCAGCTGGCCCTGGAACTCACTATGTAGAACAGGCTGGCCTTGAACTCACAGGAGATCTGCCTGCCTCTGCCTCCTGAGTGCTGGGATTAAAGGCATGCACCACCACACCTGGCATAATGTAGATCTTTTTAAATTTTTATTATTTTTATTTTATGTATATGCATGTATTTCCTGCACATAGGTAAGTGCACCTGTATCATACAACGCCCACGGAGGACAGAAGAGGCTGTTGGATCCCCTGAAACTGGAGTTACGGACAGTTTTAGCTGCCATGTGGGTACTGGGATTTGAACCCAGGTCTTCTGCAAGAGCAGCCAGTGTTCTTAACCACTGAGCCATCTTTCCATCCCCTCTTTTTTCTTTTTTGGTTCTTGAGACAGGGTCTCTGTAGCCCCAGCTGGCCTAGAACTTACTATGTAGAACAGGCTAGTCTCATTCTTAGAGAGATCAACCTGCCTCTGCTTCCTGAGTGCTGGGATTAAAGGTGTATCACCACGCCTCACAAGGTAGATCTTTCTTAAGACACAAGCAGGTCTTTAGGGAGATGTGTCCTGACAGCTGCAAAGTACTTTATGAGAAGCCAGTCCAAAACAGGTGTTTCTAGACTTCATGTAAGAAAGTGTGGAAGCTTTCCGCCATCTTGGCATCAGTGGAGGCCTGCTGGGAACAGGACTTCTAAAAGGCAAATATGTCTGGAAGGCTGTGGTGCAAGGCCACTTTTGCTGGCTATAACGCGAGGTCTTCAGAACCAACGAGAGCATACAGCTCTTCTTAAAATCAAAGGTGTTTATGCCTGAGGTGAAACAATTCGGCCCATGGAAACAGTGGCATGGTTCAAGCCAAATTCTTAATCAATCTTTCTGCAAAGGCCATTGGACACAGAATCCTAGTGATGCTGTACCCCTCATGGATTTAAACTAATGGAACGTTTTAAAAAAAAAAAAGCATAGAAAACAGTTATTGAGTCCAAGTGCAGGACATCCAAATAGCTTTCACTATTTTTCAAACTTTGTGTTGGAAGTTCTTCTTAATAAAAAGTTGGGAAAGGGCTGGCAAGATGGCTCAGTGGGTAAAGTTTAATCCCTGGAACCCATGTAAAGGTGGAAAGAGAACCAACTTCACAAAAGTCCTCTAATCTCCACACATATGCTGTGGCACATAAGAGCACACATACATTATACAAACACACATTATTAAAAAAAAAAAAAATTGAGAAGGTGAACTGCATGGATGCCAGCCCTACCAGAGGTACCAGTAGGCCATCCAAGCACCATTTTCCTCACCCAGGAGGGAACCCCCATAATCAATGGCCAGCTTATTCGTGACCTGTTGAAAGCTGCCCAATTACTGTTAAGGGCTGTTATTCACTGTAGATGGATGGAATACATATCTCTACAGCCAATAATGAGGCTGACTGCCTGGCTAAGGAAATCACTTGGAGCGATCCCATTTCCCAGCATCTGTTCAAGCTCACCCCTACAAAGACCATAGTCATAGAACTTCCTTTCACATCCAATATTCTTTTCTACCTTCACTCCCTTTTCCACCCAGATAACATGTTCCTCCTCATCTTTTTAAACATACAATTCCCAGGGCTGGAGAGATGGCTCAGCGGTTAAGAGCACTGACTGTTCTTGCAGAGGATCCAGGTTCGATTCCCAGCACCCACATGGCAGCTACAAACCATCCTTAACTCCAGTTCCCGGGGAATCCGAAGCCCTCTTCTGACCTCTGCGACATTGCACGACACAGGTGCACTCACATACATGCAGGCAATACACTCATACACACAAAAACAAAAAAAAAATGTACAGCTGGGCATGGTGGCACACGCCTTTAATCCCAGCACTTGGGAGGCAGAGGCAGGTGGATCTCTGTGAGTTCGAGGCCAGCCTGGTCTATATAATGAGTTCCAGGACAGCTGGGGCTACAAGGAGACCTTGTCTCAAAAAGACAAAAAAATCCCCCCAAAACTTACAATTCCAGCTGACCCCACAAGACAAACAGTTCTTGTGGGAATGCACTATCTCCTGCCAGGTCTGTCAGCAATCCAACCCAAATACTAATATCCATCCCCCCTAATCATCAGGTTAGAGGGTGCCACCCAGGTACTGACTGGAAAATAGATTTCACCCACATGGCCCTCCCCCCCATAAAAAACAAACTCCTCTTGGTACTTGTGGATATATGGGTTGGGCATCTTTGGTTTCCTCCCTTCTCCCTTTTGCCATTTCATTTCCCCCTGGTCTTAGGGCAGAGTCAAAGTGTTGACTCAATATCCTTAGGTGACAGGGGGTTGTACTGGGCTCTCAGGTACATTAATTATACAGAGGCTGCTGTCCTCTATAAACTCTAGCACTTCCTGGGACCATGAGGCCCAATGCAATTAGGGAAGAATTACATACTAATCGCTGGGAAGTATTCATGGTGACACACACCTTTAATCCCAGCACTCAGGAGGCAGTGGCAGGCAAATTTCTGTGAGTTCAAGGCCAGCCTGGTCTACATAGTGAGTTCTAGGTCAGCTGAGAATACAGGGAAACCCTGTCTCTAAAAGACCAAACAAACAAACAAACAAACAAACAAAAACACTGGAAAGTATAGGAGAGAGTAACTGAATTTCAGGGGAGGGTCAAATGATGAGATGATGAGGATCTCTCGTAAGTAGTATTGTGTGGATCACTTGTTAAGTGGTCATAGCTATTCTAACGATGATGGGCTGCTAAACTCAGACGACAGTGTTCTATGGTAGAGCTCTCATGGAGGTAAGTAGACATTTCATGTTTCTGTAGGAAAAGTTACATAACACACTCAGTACCCAAATAGCAACCTGACAGAACAACAACAACAAAAAGTTTGGGAATGGTCTTTTGTCCTTTAGTGGGTGCTGAGATGTGCAGTTGAGATTGCTCTGTGCAGAGTGCAATGATCACAGGATAGATTCCTTAATGCTGCTTTTTCCCATGTAGTATGGGATGGTCTGCCTCTTTGCCTCTAGTGATGGTTGCATGCTCCCTGAGATGGGTGATTGGTCATGCAACCGAGGCTGAGCTGTGTGAGATTAGAATGTCTTTGGGGGGAATGCCCAGGTGGCCATGTTCTTTGTGATATGGAGTATTGCACTTCCTTGATGAGTGGGATCCACTGTTGTGAGCATGGGGACACTTGTAAATGGTTTAAAGACTAGAGAATGCTTTACAGTTCCTAAGAGTAGCAAGCATAAATGAGAAGAGACTACTGGCAAGCCATTATGGCTATTGCATGCCTGCTGTTATGAGCAACAAGACATGCAAATTAGAGGGCTTCTATAGTACAGTACTATTTTCTAAACAGACTGACTGTCTTCATAAGACCAGC